GCCACTGTGCCTGCTTCGCTCAAAAGCCTCCTTTATATTTTTGGGAGTCAGGCTACATATAGATGAGTGTTCCATTGGGAATAAACACAGAGGTTTTATATTACTATGTGGCCATGAGGTGGAACCATCAAAAGAGAAAGATAATATACACTGATATAAAGGGATAAGGAAAATCATGTTTTTAAGAAAGGATAAAATGGGAAGTGAAAGGGTAGAGGATGAAGGTAGAGGAAGGAAAGTGGGAGGGATAAAGAACACTGAAGGATTTCCCACAAGTCATATGGAAATCTGCCACTACAGAAATTTCCTAAAATAATCTGTGCACATACACAGAAGAATTTAGATGGAGTTGCCCTCCACTAGGACAACAATGTCCCTGCTAGACACCACAGGGTAACAAAGAAAAAACCCAGACCCAGGACATAGGTTGATTTTTCAAGGTGTTTTCCAATGAATTCCCTCAGCATTACAGGTCATGGTAGGTGCTCTTGTCTATATCCCAGAACTTGGAGGTAACACACATACCAAACACTTGAGTTAGAGAACATGGAGAAGTCAAACAGATACTGACCAGAAGCTTCAACCCTACTGGCTAGCTTTCATGGTGCTGAAAAATTCTAGTCCTAATACCAAAAAGGAAAAGGAATCATTAATTAAAGCCAGTTGTGATCTCTGTGACCTACAATAATAACTGACCAGACAAGACATATTCATCTCACTATAATTGTGGTGGAAATGTCTAAGGAGTAACCAGCTGCTTCCTGGTTAGATTTAATAGCTTCTCCACAAGAAGAAACCTGTATCTGAGCATGAACCTAAGCATGAGTCCTGTGCAGATGCCAATTTTTGTATCATTCAAGAAAATATTCATTTTTGCCCGTCTGACTACAATCCTAACTTCTCATCGTTGTAAATGTAGAGAGATCAGAGACCCTAGGTGAGAATTATTATTGTTATTCTGCTAAATGGACATAATATCAAGCCACCTCCAAATGAGTTATCATTAAACCCATAAGATGGGTATGGGTATAATAATATATGCCATGGGAATAATGATATAAGGCACGTTCAAGCCTCATCGTGGAAGCTTTTGTTTGCAGCAGATCAACCCAGAGCTCAGCAAATAGCCGAGACACAGGGACTATCCAGCTCTAAATGGAATATATTAATGCTTCTTCTAAAGGCACAGGAATGGTTGTAGGCGAGAGGATGACAAGACTGAAAGAGCCAGAGTTGGTGGATGGTGACAGGGAAACTGTGTCTTCTGCACACAGCACGGCAGCTCCACATATGAACTCTCCATGGTTGTGACAGCAGGTGTAAGACCTGCCAAGCTGTGCTGGACTGAATAGCAGCATAGACAGGGGGATAGAGAAAAACAAGAATTAAGGAACGTGAATTTACAACCATGAGAAATTAGGATTATAGTCAGAGGGGAGAAAATGAATATTTTCTTGAATGATACAAAAATTGGCATCTGCACAGGACTCAGCACAATGTGTTGTGTGACCAGCTCAAGTTGAAGTCAGCGATCATAAAAATTACCTTTCAAGGGCTGTTTTCCTGCCTATCTAAGTCAGCTGCTTGTCCATGTTGTCCCTGCTTCCAAAGGCCACATTCCACTCCGTTATTATTTTTAGACTTTCCAAAATTTGCTGCCAAGAAATGAAGAGCTAATAGATTGGTCAACAGCCAATAGTTTCACTTTCTCTTTCTTCTTCTCGGAAGTGCAGGGGATTCAGAAAAACAACAAGACCCATTTGCTTTGATGATTGGTCAAAACCCACTGAGAGGGAAGGAGCAGATGTCAGAAGAGTGTATAAGTCCTGCCCTGCTGCCTTGAACCTGCTGCTTTTCCACAGAGGAAGCAGAGAGGGGATACAAGAGAAAAGACTGTAGCACAGTGGAGCGTGGTTCCTGCAGCTGAACCCAGTGAGGAAATCTGCTGGTCACAGGATAATCTGGTAAGGGGACAGCAGCATTCAGATCTACCTTTGAACAACCCTCACCATCTCTAAAGAGATGACAGGTAGCAGGACATACAGAAACATGTCTTGAAAGTGGGGGGCCTCAGTTTGGAAGTTAAGGAACTTTGTGGGAGTGAGGTAGGACAGGTGTGTAGATGTTCTTAGCCAATCATCCAAGTTGAAGTAGACCTGAAGGAAAAGATCCCAATATTGGTTTTGGTAATAAGTCATTAAGTTGGTTTGGTTTGGTCTCATACTCCTCTCCCTAAAATGGCTGTAACAGGTAATGGAATATTTCTGCCATGTGTATTAGGCTTATTGTATCCCATCTCAAATTGCTCCCTAGTTCATTGTCAACTATATAATTTCTTATATCCCGAGGCCTCCAACTTGTGGAGAAGAGGTCTCTCTGCACGTTGCTTCTGCTGTAACTGATTGTGGAAATCTCTACCTGAAGAATCTTCTTCACTGTGCTTTTCCTTATTGTAAAGCAGGAGTGTTAAGATCTTTTCTCCATCTGTGAGAAATATGAGCTGTGTCAGGATCTGGTGACAGCTGACATTTAGGCAGGTTTCCTTTTTTAATACTTGCTGTGTCACAGCCTTTTCGTTCCCTGTGTTCATACTCAGTAGAAAGACCTTGCAGACAACTATCACACTGGAGTCTGCATCACAGATCCAGGAGCTGACACAATGAGAGGGGAAACTGAAAAGATAGAACAGCTGTATTTGATGAGGTGTTGGGGATTGAACCCAAAGCCTTTTCCATGGTGGAAAAGCTCTCTACCAGTTGACCAGTGTCTACAGTACACAGTTATATTGCTTTTATAAAATACAATTTTGCATGAGAACATTGAAATGTTTTATTGAAGACATCTTGGATTTCATACAGAATACTCCTGTCTGGTTAGATGCAACACAGTTGTTCATGCTTTTATACTTGTTGGTGACGGTGAAAGAACACATGAAGATTTTGTATTATTTTCCCTTACTTCACTTAAGTATTAATTTTTCTCTAATGAAGGGTTTACTTGAGAGCTAGTAGAAATTTGTACTAGTTTCCTTTCTGATGCTATTATAAGCACTATGACCCCAAGAATTTTCAAAGAAAACTTTTTTTTTTTGGCTTACATTCTGTGTTCACAGTCTATCACTAGGGAAAGTCAGGGCAGAAACTCTGCAGGGATAGAAATAGAAACAATGGGAGCACATTGTTTGTTTATGGGCTTAATCCCTTAGCTTGATATTGCTTTCTTAAATTACCTAGGAGTCTTACCACTACCACTGGGCTGGAACCTCTCACATCAGTAATCAGTCCAGAAAATACCTAATAGGCATGTTCCCAGTCCAATCTCATGGAAGCAATTCCTTAAATGAGGCTTTCTCCTCAAAATGGGCTATAGCTTGTATCTTGTAGACCAAAAATAACCAGCACAACATATATGGTATCTAGTCAACATCAACATAACTAAGGCTGAAGCACAGTGAGAGTACAGAGTGCTAAGCAAAAAGGCATCTTCAGTCTCCTGCAACTTACTCTCTTCCTTCTTTCAGGGTCATTTTCAAAACAGCCATGGGTCAGGTTTCCTCTCCTGCATCTAAGGATGAAGACAATGGAGATTTGGAGTCCAGTTTCACTAACTATTTTGAGAAGATTAAGACAGAAAACAAAATAATTTCTCAGGAACATATCCAATTAATAGAATCACATCTGAAAAAAGGAAACATTCAGGTGGCAAGCTCTGTAATTAATGATGCATTAAAAAATATTGGTAACACCCCAATAAACATTGCTGTGATAGGAGAGTCTGGAACAGGGAAGTCCAGCTTCATCAATGCCCTGAGGGGTGTTGGACCTGAAGATGAAGGTGCAGCTGATGTTGGGGTGGAACTATAGAGAGAATGCCATACAAACACCCCCAAAATAAAATGTTAATTTTATGGGACCTGCCTGGCATTAGAACTATGAACTTTACAATGGAAGATTATATGGAGAAAGTGAAATTCCAAGAGTATGATTTCTTCATTATTGTCTCTTCCACACGTTTTACAAAACTTGAAATAGACCTTGCCAAAGCAATCAGATATATGAAAAAGAATTACTACTTAGTGAGAACCAAGGTGGACCTGGACTTAGACAATGAGAAGAAATACAAACCACACACCTTTGACAGAGAAAAGACACTGCAGCAGATCAGAAGCAAATATGTGAATGCCTTCAGTTGGAATAACATGGATGTACCACAGATTTTCTTGATTTCTAACAGCAATTTATCTGACTATGATTTTCCATGCTTGATGGACACCCTGGTAAAGGATCTTCCTGCTCAAAAGCGCCACAATTTTATGCATTCCTTGGCTAATATCACAGAAGCAGCGATTGACGAAAATCACAAGTTTCTGTGGCAGATTATCTTGTTAGACGCCTTGAAGACTGGACTCTTAGGTACTGTTCCTGTAGTGGGCATCCTCAAGGGTGAAGTGGAGGAGCTGAAGGAGAAATTAAACCTCTATCGAGTCCTCTTTGGAGTGGACGATGCATCCCTGCAAGTCATTGCTAAAGATTCTCAAGTGCCTGCTGAACAGCTGAAAAAAAATCATTAAATCTCCTTATTTGTTGGACACTGAGAAAAGGGAAACATTAGAAGCAAAGCTTTTGAAATATTTGGAGAGATTTGCTTCAGTTAATGGTGGGCTCTTGGCTAAAGGTCTCTACTTTAGGAAAACCTTTTACTTAGAATTTCTTTTCCTTGACACAGTGACTGAAGATGCCAAAGTTGTCCTTAGAGAGACATACTCAAAAATTAGTTCAAACTCATGTCAGCCACAGCTACTGACCATGGATAAGTGTTACTCTTTCCTCATGTTCTTGGCCGGATTAGTGGCTGTTTTTTTGTTTTGTTTTATCTTAGGTTTTAGGCATGAAGAGGGGAGTAATCTTCAAATAAATTTTTAAATATTCAGATTGTTTTAATCTTACTATATAAGAATACACATATGTAATTTTTTTAAACTAATGAGTTAATTATACAATAGATTGTTTATTCAATTACTCTTAAGGTTCCAGGCCTTGTAGATGCTAGGCAAGCATTTTATCACTACACGATGCACCTCACCTCTTGATAGCATTTAGATTTATGTAAGATAATAGTCTGAATATTCTGAAATTCTAACCTTAAAGAATTGAATTCCCATATCTGTCAGTCTAACCAAAAATGATAGGATTAGATTACATATTGTCATAATTCTGATAGATAATGCAAATGAAATAGGTTCTTCAATGTTCAACATAATCGTATGTAGCAAACCAATAGTTACATATTTTTAATTCGTTAATAGTAAGTCAGAATTAATTTGAATCTCTTAAGGAATTTGATTAATTTGAAACATTTATATTATTTTACTTACTGTTGCATGTGAAGGCCAGAGGGCAACTTGTTTAGTCAGTTTTTTCCTTCCACCGTGAGGGTTCAGAGCATCTAACTCAGTAATGCAGGCTTGTAGCTCAGGACCTTTACCTGCTGAGGCATCTCACAGCACTAGCCCGAGTGAGCCTGGACAGGGCAGTTAGCACAGTGGAGATACTCTGGCTCCAAAGAGGATGCTGAACTGACTGTGGACTGCACTGGACCAGAAGGACTGGGGATACTTTTCTTTCAGGCACATGCATCAAGGTAGGAGGGATAGAAAGCAGCCCCACAATGGGAGACAGACATTAGGTCTGCAGCCCCTTAGTAGTTTTAATTTCCATATCTCTGACAGATAGTGATGCACACTTTTTCAAATGTTAATTAGTAATTTTTATTTCATTTTTGAGAATTGTATTCAGTTCCATGGCGTATTTTTTATTAGGTTGTTTGTTTACATAATGTTTACTTTAAAATTCCTTATACATTCTAGCTAATTCTCTATCAGATTTATAGCTGGCAAAGGTTTTCTCCGATTCTCTGGGGTGCTTTTACTTTGTTTGACAATTTTCTGTTTAATACAAAATAGTTTTGTTTTATGAGTTCCCAATTATTCATTATTACCCTTATTTGCTGAGCTAGAAGGGTCTGACCCAGAAAGTTCTTGCCTATGCCTCTTTTTTTTCTGTATTTAAAATTTATTACAAAATTACAAAGCAGAGCTCTGTAACATAAAAATACACATTTGGGTTTACTTTTTAACATCCAGGTGAGAAAATCTTAATATAAGCGACTTGGAGCAACACATTCACATCCAAGATTTTTTTAAACAATTTTTTACAATATAGACTATTAATTCCTTTACAGCTTATTAGTTTAGAACCGGCTATTCCAACCTACAAAGCTGTCTTTTAAAACTAAGTCTCAATTGAAATCTTGGTGCAATCACAGCAAAGTCCACAGAAATAATATACTGATGGCCTGTTAGCAACCTGAGTAACAGAGCTGAGGTTACTTATTTTGAAGAAAGAACTTATTTTTAAATCTTTTATCTTTTGGGAAAAAATCCAGATATCAAACAACTTTTTTATTGTTACACCAAATGAAAGTTGGAATTCTAAGATTCCATTCCAGTTAAAATTCACTCCAGGCAGAAAACCCGATTTATTGTTTTGTTTTGTTTTGTTTTGTACCTGAGCCCCTTTCTGTTCATCACGGATCCTTGGTCTTAATTAACATGGAAACACCTAATCCTTTCAACTATTCTGTGCACTTCACTGTGATTGCACCTATGCCTCTATCTTAAGTGGACTCCATGCTGTCCCCTATAAATTTAAAGTGTCTGGTCTTACGTTGAGGTCCTTGGTCTATTTCTGGTAGATTTTTGTGCAGGGTGAGAGACAAGAATCTAATTTTGTTGTCCTATGCATAGCTGTCCAGTTTCCCAGCACTGTTTGTTGAAGATACTCCTTTCTCCAGTTCATTTTTCTTTTGTGATTTTTTCTTCTTTTTCTTTTTTTTTTCTTTTGTGATTTTGTTGAAAATCAGAAGGTTGTAGATTATGGCCTTGTAGCTGGGACCTCTACTCTAT